GCCGGGGGCCAAGGAGAAGGGGCACCTCCAGCCAACTCGCGCTCTGGGCGGGCGCTGCGACTCTGCCCGCTCTCCAGGCAGACAACCGAGCCTGCGTGTTGGCGGGGGACGGGGGGCAAAGGGGGTATGGTCTGGGGTTGCCCTTGGGCACTAAGTGAGCATGAGGCATGGGGTCCACGTGAGGCAGGGAGGGAGGGAGGGAGGGTCTGTCTGTGAGGCTCACAGACCAGGCTCCGAACCGCAGGGAAAACTCACACACGTGTGTCACGTATGTAAGCAAAGATCCAAGTCAGGAAAGGGTAGAATTCCGGCAAAACCCTCCCACGTCAGTAACACGCCTCTCACGGTCCATTATCATCCAGGAAAAACGAGGTATTAACAGATCAGATGCAGCCGATGGTCAATGTTTAAAAACACAGACAGAAACACGAACCTCCCACGGGAAGAGGGGACAGGCTTCCCGAGTGGACCCCTCCCGGTCGACTGGTTCTGTCTGCCTGGACCGCTCATGGATGGGGGGGGGCGGCAATCCATTAGTGATGTCTGACACGGGCACGGCTTAGGGCCCAGTGGGAGAGTCAGTGATTTTTCCTTCTTGGCACCTTCCTCAATTCTCCCGATTTTCCATAAAAAAACATCTAGGCCTGCTTCTGCTCTCTGGCTTATTCATGAAAGCAATCATTTCTGCAAAGAGAGTCAGACGACGCCAGGGAGGTTTGCTGAGAACGCGTGTGTGTGTGTGTCAGACCCTCCGAAACACGCGTGTTAGGAGACTGGGAGGCCTTGAGAAGTGGGGTCCACGGGGCCCCGTCAGCCTGGGGTTGGAAGCGTGGGGCAGGGCCGACTGGGGCAGGGGCAGCCCAATGCGGAAACGAGCGGCAGGGCCTCGCTCCAACCCGCTGAGGCTCAGCTTGCCCGGCTCCGAAACAGGTGACCGAGCGGATGGAAGGAGGCCTCTGTGCCTCTGACCTCGTCCCCTTCCCTTCCCAGGGTGTCCCCCCGGCTGAGGGCAGCTCCCAGGAGGCAGAGAAGGCTCCGGCCCCCACCCCTGCAGGACGTCCAGCACAGAGCACCGGGTGTTCGCAGACTCAGGCCAACGCAGGGGCGGGGGAGGAGGAAGAGAAAGGGCCCAGGGCGG